AATTAAAATTAAAATACAAAGCGTTTTTCATTCTTTGTGTCAAAAACGGATGAACAAAATTTTTAAAATGTTTGAGTTTCATTTTCTGTTTCAGATAGCAAAAAAGAAAATTGCTTTAAGGCAGAAATGAAAAAAGCCTTGTTTGTTCATATTCCACGACAGGTCGTGGCAACTTACTGTGTCCCTACAATAAACTGTTTTTCACCTGAAGGGGTGCATGCAATATCAAAGTTATTTAATGAACATCCCATTACATAGATATAGATGGTTACCTCATATATAGACTAAATCAAAACGCTTTCCAGTTCTGCGTCTGACACAGATCTTTTTCTCCTCAGATCATGCTGAGCACAAAATCTTCTGACGCTCATTTCCGAGCATTGTAGGACACCTATCTGCTGCAACGAAAACAAAGTCAACATTGATGGTGACTTTGGTATCAAATATATTTGCCAAGTATTTATTTGGTATCAGATCGATATCAAAGTCGAAAGGACGCAAACTCAGAAAAAAGCACAGATTTTGTCAAAACTCAGGAGGGAAAAAACGTGCTCACAGACCAACAACTGTACAACACAGAAGTTGTATGAAATTTGTCGTTTTGCTTTATATTGAGAGAAATGGAGGTGAAGTGGAGGCAGTAGCCGACATGTATTCAGTAAAAGAGACTTATTTGGCCAAAAGCCACATGAAGTATCTCTGCAGCCTTTGGTCACAGAGCGACAGTCATCATACAACTCATTTATGGACATTCTTCTCTTCGTTTCATTATGCAGAGCTGTCAGGCGAGCGCCSCTTCTGGTGGGGGAATAGACAGTGGTAGAATACAAACAAATGAGCCTTTTTCCGTTTCCGTCTTAAATTAATTTTCTTTTTTGCTATCTGAAACAGAAAATGAAACTCAAATCATTTTTAAAATTTCATTTACCCTTTTTTGACTCTAAGAATGAAAAATGCTTTGTATTTTAATTTAAATTCAGTATTTTAAAACAAAAATCAAATAACCACTCATTTGTTATTTAATACCCATTTCTAAAATGAAAATCCAATGACCAAAAGATACACTGACCTTCCAGACGAGCAGGACTCGCGCAGACATTTCATGACTGGAAATCCAAATTAAAATCATTAAACAAAAGAGAAAAAACAAGTAAAAGTAAAGTTAACTGGACTGAGTTTAGGCGGAACCATGACCATAATAACACTGATGATATACAAATATACATCCCTTCACACTTTACTCTGACAAGTGATTGGTGAATAAATACATTTGGTTTTGATGTCAAAGATATTTAAATAAAAATAAATAAATAAGTGCTGCTCTGAAGACGTTGATCTCCCAATTCAAGTAACATTAAATACAAAAAAAATCACTGAGAAACAAAAACAGAGCTAACAATGATTCTAAAGACTTCACAAACTGAAGAGAAGAAGCTGATGTCAGTCAGAAGAAAACAAGAAGTTCTGGTTTGTTTGTTTGTGACACTGATGTGTAAACAGAAAGTAAACAAAGACTGTTTGTTTATTTGAGTAAGAAACTTTCTGTAAAGAGTCCTATTATGTTGAAGCAGAGCCTCTGCTCAGGTAAAGCCAGGACCATTCCTGAGGTGGTCCATCTGGTGTCCCCTCTCTGTGAGAGGTGGGGACACCTGGACAGTCTCCAGTCCATCACAGGGACACACAACTGTCCCAACATGCATGTCTGAGGCTGTGGGAGGACACCAGACTTCCTTTATGATGAAACCAGAACGAGAAGCTGAAGATCTGAACACCGGCTACTAACAAGCAGGTGGTCCGCCCGAGGAGGCGATCGTAATGTTTTGGCTTGTTCCAGCTGGTCACGGCTGCTGATCCAGATAATTGCTGCACTGTAAACTATCTGCTTTCAAAGTGTACAGGCCAGTTTGGATGGCCCTCTCCTTGACGGTCTCGGCGGTTCTCCTCTGATTCAAGTCCAGCAGGACACTGAGCAGCTGGTTCAGGCTGGCCTCTCGGCCCTCCTGCTCCACCCAGATGTTCAGCAGCTCGTGGACCCGGTCCTCATAAGGAAGGCTGTCCTTGCTTTTGATCACGTTGTCGTTGAGGCTCAGGCCACGGAAGAACCTGTTGTGATAGTCGATGTTCAGATCTCCAAAGAAGTCGAAGCATTTCCTGAGCGAGTCGACGCCTGCAGAGAAACAGGAAGCAAGAGATGAAGCCAGGACCAGCCSCTCCTCCATCCTCTGAGGATCAGCTCAGAGCTCCTGATGTCAACATGTCTGTCAACTTTAAACCTTTCTACAATCCTCCTTTTTCCTGTGAGTGTATAATGATGTAGAGAGGACATTTCTCTATTTTAATGCATCTTATGAGAATAAAATATTTAAGCACTTAAGGGTTATTTAGTCTTAAAGAAAATATTCCTTGTAAGATTTTCTGGCACCACTTTCCAATAAGGCTCCCCTTGTAGATTGCTTATAAACAGCTTATTATTCATCTGTAAACACTTAAAATAAAAACAAATAAATCATTAATAAGTGTTTATTACGCCTTAAGGATGAGAAAAGAGAAAACTGTCCGGTTTCTTGCCAAATACTGAGCCAAATCTATTCATGTACAAATCACATCTACAAGGTGCTAAATTAAACATTTTACACTAGGTTACTACTTTGTAAGTACAGTAATATATTAGAAACATATATTTTACATATAATAATTGTACTGCATTACTTCATTCTACATATCCACAACTATCAAAGGGAGCCTAATTGTAAAGTGTAAAATTGTACACTATAGGGCTTCCTTATGATATCTATAAATGTTTTAGTCTTTAATAAATAGCATACTGTATTAATATGTACATGGATACATTTGGCTCACTGTTTGGAATGAAACCAGACAGTTTTGACTCTCATCCTTAATTAATGCATAATAAACACTTAATGATTTATAAAAAGTGTTTACAGATGAATTAATAATCTATTTATAAGCCATCTATTAAGGGGATTATTGGAAAGTGGTACAGATATTTTTTGCCAAGACAAAATGGTATTTAAACAGAATTTTATTAACTACCATGTAAATTTGAATTTTTTAAAATTCTAGTTGAAATTACCTGCTGCTGAAAATGTGTGTGTGTGATGCTGCACCTCATCATATATCATTTTATTTACAGGGTTTTACCAAACCAAACGATTTAGTCAAAAAATCTGGCATGAAACATGCATTCCCATAAAAACTGATGGCTTTTTAATCAATCAACTTTATTTCTAGAAATCTTGTAGATTTCTAGAAATAAACCTGGTGTTTTGGGACCCACAGCAGGGTTCCATACTCAACTTTGCAAATCTGGATTGTAAGCTAGTTGGCAAACTGTGAACATAACAGGTTGTGATTTTCAAATTACAAGACCCCTCAGGCCAGGACCGACTCAGAATGGAACAAGTCACTGATCTGTCAGCCTCAGCAGCTCAGGTTCTGCTTCAGAAGACATTTATTAGTTTCTCTCTCTCTCTCTCTCTCTCTCTCAATTGAAACATTGAAAACAAGGTCATTTACCGTTTACAGGAGTAAGCGTGGGGAACGGTTCCTCTTCCTGAAAGACAAAAACAAACAGGATGGGAAGGTTTCAGTGTTTTAAACTTCTGATCCTTGTCTCATTTAGAAACAAGAAAACGATTCTTCTCAGCTTCATCATTCTGTCTGCTCAGGGTGTGTGTGTGTGTGTGTGTGTGTGTGATTGGTTAGGATGCGTAAGCAAAGGCAAGACTGTGTTTGTTTCCTGCATTCATCATTAAAGTGTCAGACCTGCCCAACCTTCCATACAAAAGGTCAAAGAAAACATTTTACGGCTCTGTTTACGTGCAGACACTGTCCTTTGACATCACTTCCTGTTACTGAACATGCAAATATTTCAACAGCTGTTTACCTCAGCACTGTGGATTAATATAACAAAAATGCCCCAGCTGCTTTAAGGTTATGTCATGAATAAAATCAAAATGTTGACAGAAAATTTAAGAGAAATAAAAATAAAAATACAGTATCAGTATAGTTATAATGAAAATAGTTTTTCATTAGTTTTAGTGTTTATTCATTTTCAAACTATTTCCTGTAAATGTTTCAGTTGGACCACTTTAATGTGAAAACATGACACAAAACCAGTGACCTGAGGCCTACTGCACAAAAGTCAGATTTCTAAATTCAGGATATGAGCTGTAAGCTGAGCTTGAACAAGCCTTTAACTTGTAAACAGCCATAATCAGTTGAACAAACACCAAGCCRCRCTCARTTACGGAGGTTCATTCAAGTCAGGTGTAAATAATCTGGGATTAATGCACGTTCAAGGTTTGTTTACTAGACCCATCAGGTGGATCACAGATTTCCTGATCAGGCATGCGCAGTAAGACACATGAGTCTCACTTCCTCCAGCAGTTTAATGGTTAATTATGATTCAAATGATGAGATGAAGAGAAAAACCGACTGATGCTGAAATACTTTCTAAAGTAAAAACTTTTTGTGTCTGAATCTGTCTGTGAGTTATCTGAGATTAACTAAATGAGCTAAATTAAAATCAACAGCTGATCGCTCACTTAAAATGATCGCTGTAGGAAAAGACGAGGGACGGAGCGGGGG